AGCACATCCCAACACCACATCTACAACCATCATGGAATATATTTCAAGCTGGGATAGAAGATAACCAGTTCTATTTTAACTTACAATATGATGATGAATTATAGCTCTATATAGAAAATTAAAGTCCATTTGGAATCGGTAGAAAACTTGCTACTCCCGTATCATTGTGTTTTGCCCATTTAATTCTAACCAAATTTAAATACACATTAATTGCGTCTTCCGTAGCAACGCACGGACATATTTACTAGTAAATTGTAAAGAAGGGAGTTTAATTCCCCCGTGAAGACGTTTCCTCTTGCTTGGGCCAGATTCAGTAATATTTTTCTGGCCTGGTTACGATGTTGTTGTCTGCTAGTAGAGCAGGCTCAACGTGGCCGAGTGGAGCAGGCAGGCGTGCGTGCCGCTTGGGACCTGGAACCAGGGTACGTAGACGTTTAACCTCAGAATAGTACCACCTCGTGTGTGTATCTTAAATATAAAATCATCTAAGCGGGACGAAATTAAGAATATCACCTTACTTTAATAGTAGGTATAGACTTTCGTTTTTCATTTATCCATTTCAAGTTTATTTCTTTTCTCAACAAATTTTCTGAAACTTAAATTTCTCCGCATGTTTATAAATTTATTTGTTTTTCTGGAAATTCAAATTCGAACTTCTTAAAAACTTTAGATTCCTGAAAATGTTCGCATTTTTATATTTTGCTCTTCCAAAAAAATTTGTCGATTTTGGAAGATGTTCCTATTTCCAAAATATATTTGTGACTACAAAATCTGTACGAAAACACAAGAAAGTTAGGGAATTTCGTAAAATGTCTATGTTTTGAAAAATTGTTCATCTCGTAGAAGTTCACGTGTTTTCAAATTTTCTTCACGGAGTCGAGAAAAATCACATTTATGTAATTTGTTTGCAAATTGAAAAAATGTTCAGTTGGATTTCATAATTTTTTGTGTTTTAAAAAAATGTTCATATTTTCGGGCCTTTTTCAATTTTGTTCTTGTTTTTTTCAAAAAATGTTCGTGTTTGAAAAAATGTGTATGTTGTTAAATGTTCTCATTTCAAATATTGTTCCTTTTTTTTACAAAAATTGTTTGAGATTCCCATAAAATGTTCGAGTTTGTAAAGGTTTGTTAGCAAATTTTGAAAATGTTTGTTTTCCTAAATACTCCCTCCATTCCAAAATATAGTGCACCCGCGCTTCCCGAGGTCCAACTTTGACCATAAATTTAACCAACGAGACCAACTGCGGCGGGAGAAAAAATTATATAATTAAAACTTCTTTCGAATACGAATTCACTGATATAATTTTTGCTCCCGCCGCAATCGGTCTTGGTAGTTAAATTTACGATCAAAGTTGAAGCACGGGGATAGAGGAAGCACTACATTGTGGAATGGAGGAAGTATATTGCCATTTGTGTAAAAGGAAACCACGTTCGAATTTTTAAAAGAAGTTTATTTTGGTTCGCCTCCTATAGTTCATATTAACTCTTTTTAGGTGAGTTTATATTAATTGAGGTACCATTTTAGACAAACAAGTCAGCGAACACATTCTCTAGCGATGTGGATTAGTTTCTGGAGGCCGTGTGTTCGATACATTCACACACGTTTTGGGGAATTTTTTGCGAGTTGTTCTCTAAATTTTGCCGTTGTCATTCCCTTCTTTAGGTATCACGTTGCAAACCTTGCATTGGAGTGAGCCTGTCTTTGTTTCTTTGTCGGTTTTTATTGGTTTTCTTTGTTTGTTTTGGTTCTCATTCTACACTTTTCCTATACGTCAAGAATATTTTTCTAATATACATTTAATATTTAATACATTTTCAATATTTTTTTCTCTACATATTTTAAATAATTTTTATATACAATATTAAAAAAGTGAATACATGAGCAACTTGTTTTTAAACAGATTTGAACACTCTGAAATGCCTGATTAACAATTTTCAAATACAAGGTTAATACTTTAAATTCATGGTCAACATTCTTTATACAAATTTACCATTTTTTAAATGATTGATTAATATTTTCTGAATACATAGTCAAAAATCTATACACATTTAACCCAAATGCTAGAAAGTGCAGCCGTGCTTTTCCATTGTTGCAAGCGCACGCTGTCTTAGTCTTCCGATCGAGGAGACTGAATTAAAACTAATCCAATTGTACAACTCACATAGAGGAATTAACGTGCAGGAAAAGCACCTTGTCTTGCGCATGCCTCCACCCCGTGATTTCTCAGCAATATCCCATGTGCATGCATTTATTTGGGGCTTCAAAAAATTTGAAAACCCGTAACTTCTAATTTGAGCATCGGAATTCAAATCCGCTTTCATGGTTGTGTTTCTCGCGATCTTCAAGACTAGATCCCGTATGAGTATGTTTCGATGAATTTTTATTTAGAGCAACTTTGGGTGCTACGGAGACAATTTTAGTGCTATAGGAAAGCAATTTTTTATTAGTGTGCATAATATGATTTCCTATCACCCCGCAAAAAAATTATGACTTCTTATCATCGAAAATCAGTTCGAAGCTGGCTACCATGACTACCAAGTTAACTAGTTTCACCTTTAAGTTTCTACCATGGCTAGCAAGTATTCTACGGTTACTAGTTTCGTCTCCAGGTTGATAGTATTGAGGTAACCTAGTTTCCGAGGTAGGTTAACATTATCCTAAGCTGTCTGCCATAGCTAGCAAGTAGCTTAACATCATTTTTAGTTGCATACAACACTTTTCAGTATGGTAAGCAACTTAGTTTCATAGATAGACAACTTAGTAACACTGATGGCAACTTTGAATGTATTGTGGGCAACTGAAATAGCAATGGCAGGCAACTAAGTATCATCGGTAGGCAACTTAGAGAAAGCAATGATAAGCAACTTCACAATATTGTAGGCAACTATTTTACAAAGTTAGGCAACTGAGCAGTAATGGTAGGCCACTAATTACCAATAGCAGGCAACTGAGCATCAATGGTAAGCAATTTCATCGTATTTATAGGCAACTAAGCATCAACTATAGGTAACTTACCATTAACAATAGGCAACTGAGCAGCAATGATAAGAAAGTTGGGAAAATTCACACGTACATATGGTGTAGTGAAGTTGCTTGTATGTGGCACTAAAAGTGCCTCATGTTTTGTGTGTGTTTCCTCATTTTTATACAAACCAACGTAATAGGGAGTTCTACTACGACAAAAAGAAGAAGTTGCCTCCCTATAGCCCCAAAGTTGCCTCCATTGCACCTAAGGTTGCTCACAAAAAAGTTTGAAGAAACCTACCCATATGGGATCTAGTTTTGAAGAACTCATCGTGACATACCCAACGGTGAAAATGGATCGGAATTTCGATCCTCGAAACAAAAGTTATGGCTTTAAAAAAAATAAACCCCAAATAAATGCACGTCATAAAGATCTTGGTTGATTTCCTTTTTGGATCTTTGTTTGTTACAGAATCACATAGTTATGCGGCAGACTAGATGGTTTCCTTCCTAGAAGGGAAAGTGTGCCCGATCACACGAACGAGCATCTGGGCGCTCCCTAGCCACGTCCCACTTAGTAGTTTTCAAATGTTTTATTAGCATTTCTCAAATTCTTGATTAATTTTTTTAAAATACATTATCAATTTTTTTCGTACACATTATACTTTTTTCTATACACGAGAAACATTTACTGTTTACACGTTTCACATTTTTGAAATGTTTGGTTAACATTATGCTCAAATGCTTTTATGTAAAGTGTTTTTCTAATATATCTATTTGAAATTTTTGGCAATATAAACAAAAATTAAAAAATATAGAAGGAAAACAATATTGGGAATATTTGACAATATAAAAAATAGTAAAAAAAGTAAAGCAAAAAAGTGAAAAAAACATGAAAAAAAACCGAGGTTGTGGCCTCCTGCCTAGGTCGGCCCATCTCGCGCATCCTTCAAGCGGGGCTTCCCTTTGTCTCATGTGAAGCGAGTGATAGAGGCACCCGGGAAATCACCTAGTAATGCCTTACCTGGCTTTGAAAGGATTCGGGCTCTAAGGAGCAATGCTGGATCAACAGACTGCTTACTAAGGCTTTACGGATCAATCCAACATGGTGCTATCTGATTGGACGTTGTTTGGGGTACCTGCCCC